AACATTTCCCAGGCACGTTCCTCACAATGTCCAGAAGGTAGTATGGCCCAGTGGAAATGAAGGCTGTGTTTGGAGTCAGGATGACCTGAATGACCTTGGGCACGTGACTCCGGCTTTTCTGGTCTCAGTTTTCTCAACTATAAAGCCAGAGAATTGGACTCAGTGTCCCCTAAGGTCCCTTTTCAGCTCTGGATCTAAAGTTAGGTAAGTGGAGCATGATTACCCCCTTTTTACAGAGGAAGAAACTGAGGCTGAGTGACTTGATCACAGCTACACAAAGCTCTTTCCTCCCCATGTGAGGCAGGCAGAGCAAATATTTCCCCTGGGTTACAGAAGGGCAAACTTAACCCGGGTCACAAAACTAGTCAGTATATTAGAGATAGCAGCTTACCCAAGTCCCTGGATCCCATGAATGAGCTAGTGAGGTGACTAGAAATTTCTTTTAAAAAAAAAATCACAAAAGAAGTTCGGCTTAAAAGTATCTAGAGCCAGGGCAGTTAGATGGCGCAGTGGGATAGAGCACCAGCCCTGAAGTCAGGAGGACCTGAGTTCAAATCTGCCCTCCAGACCAAATACTTGACACTTACTAGCTGTGTGACCCTGGGCAAGTCACTTAACCCCAGTTGCCTAAAAAAAAAAAGAAAGTATCCAGAGCCTTGAAGCAAAAATTGATTGGTAGGCATCCTGAGCCCCAGTGGATATTAATTAACCTTGCCCTGGCCAATCTGGCTTCACTTTATAGGATCATAGATTTAGGGTCATCTAACTCAATCCTCTCATTTTATAAATGAGAAAAATGGGGCCCAGAAATAACTTGTCCAAGGTCAAACAGGTGGCAGGGCTGAGATTTAGGTCCAGGTACTTTGGATTTCAAATCTGTCACTATTGGACACAGTTTTAGGTGTGACCCTGGGAAAATCCCTTCACTCCTCTGAGCCTCAGTTATCTGCTCCAAAGGGCTATGGAAATGGGTGGTTATAACAATGATGACAGGCTTATATGCAATCTAATGCTCTCCTAAACACCTTACAAAAGTACAAACCAATGCTACCCGGTCTGGATAGGGGCACAGGCCTGGAACCATCCTCCTACCTTGGCCCTTTTCTGCTGCAACCAACACCCACTAAATGATGCTGAGTACTTTCTCTCACCCCATTTGGCCAATGGGGGACAACAGGATCAGATTCCATCTCAGAACTTACAATCCATGTGACCCTGGGCAAGGGGTTTAACCTCTCTCTGTCTCACTTTCCTCATCTGTAAAACGCCGATGAGAATAATAGCTAACATTTATATAGTGCTTACTACATGCCACGGGCTGTGCTAAGGGCTTTACAATTAATGTCATCTGATTCTCATAACAACCCTGGAGGTAGGTGCTATTAATATCCTCATTTTACAGATGAAGAAATTGAGATAAAGAGACTTGCCCAGGGTCAAACAGCTAGTAAGGTCTGTAACAGGATTTGAACGTAAGTCTTCCTGACTCCTTTGACAATTCCTTATGAAAAATCAAATGAGCTAAGGCAGTATAGCCAGTCTTCATTAGTTTTATTATCAGAGACCACCTCCATTTCCTTCAAAGTGCTAGCATCCTTGCCAAAGTGTGGGAGATCCGTGTTCCCCTTCCCTAGGCCAACAGTGACCTCTCTTAATTTATCTGTAAAATGGTGGTTGTTGGGGGGAGGGGAGGTTTCTAGGTACTTTCTAAGTTGCCTTCCTAAGTAGAAGTGCCCAGCACGTAGCAGGTGCTTAATAAAAGTTTACTGACTATATTTTTAAAACAAGCCTCCTCTGTAAGCCCCACCAGGGAACAGTAAGGAAGTGAGAGTGAGACTAGACTACGTGCAGTGCTGGGAGCCCCTGAGAGGAAGATGTATGTACTAAGTAATAGTATTAGCTCACATGTACATAGCACTTTAAGGTTTGCAAAGCGCTTTACATGTATTATTTCACTTAGGACATCTGATGAAGGTCATCAGGACAACTGACAGCCATGACAGGCCAGGCCTTGGTAGGAAGCTGACGGTGCAGTGTGTGTGGCTCACAGGCCTCAGAAGGTTTCTTGGGCCACACCCAGTCTAAGCTTTTAAAAAGCAGTCTCTCTTCTCTCTCTACCTCTCCCTCTTTCTTTCTCTCTCTCTTCCTTGTTCCTTCTATCTCTAGTTCTTTCTTTCTCTCCTCTATTTTTCTCTCCCCTTTTTTCTCTCTCTCCCTCTGTCTACTTCTTTCTCTCTCTCCTCTCCCTCTTTCTCTCTTCTTCCCTCTCTCTCTAGTTCTTTTTTTCTTTCTCTCTCTCCTTTTCTCTCTCTGTCTCTCTTTCCCACCCCACCCCCCCCAATCCACTTGCCCAAAAGGAAGGCTTAACCTCTGGGAAGTGATTCACAGAAATTCTCCAGCCTTAAAGAGGCCTTAAGAATACCTAGCTTAGTGGCAGGACCCCACCTAAAGCATCCCACAGAGACGAGGAGTCATCATGCTTTGAAAAGCTCTCCCCTCACCCCTGTGAGGTCACTCAGACCCCTGTGACAGGACAGAAGCCCGGGATACAGGACTCCCACTCAGGAAGAGATGGGACAGACACCATACATGTGAGTTTAAAGGACTACGTGCCCAAGGGGGGAAGCCATCCTTGCAGCCCGCTCCTCGGAGGGATGAGGAAACTGAGGCCCAGACAGAGGAAGTCACTTGCTCTGAGCCCCATTGTTAGGAGGAGAAGAGCCTTTGGTTTTGTGGTTCTATGGGGCTCCCCCTGCTTATGCCACCCCCAGGATCTGAGATACTATATATGGCCATTGTAGACTCTATAAGACACTATATAAGACTAGAATCCTATCTTGGAGCCAAGTGACTGTGGCTCCCTTCCTCTGAGGATCAGGTCAACTGAAATAACACGTAAATGCTTCGCAAGCCTCAAAAAAAGCCTGATATCACGGGTTTATAACCCCTTTTGTGTCACAGACCCATCTGGCAGTCTGGTGAAGCCTATGGGCCCTTTCTCAAAATAATGTGTTAAATAATTAAAAGAACTGCTAAATGAAAAATCAAAATGCATCTTTCCCCCACCCAAGCTCATGGATCTTCTGAAATCTGTCCAAGGACTCTTGCACTGTTAAAGTTAATAGCCTGAGCCTCAGTTTCCCCATCTTTAAAGTGGAAGTTATCCTAACTTTCCAAAGATAAGAAAGCACAAGGTGCTCCACACACAGTAAATGATTTGGCAAGCTAGCACTCAGCCGCCCATAAAAGGCACTCAGTGATCCTCAGACCTTGTCATTTCTAAAGCAAGGATATCAAAGAAGCAGTTCCCCCAAGCTTTCTCAACCACTAATCACTGGGCTTGGGACACCCCAGGGAAACACGATGACCTGTTCCTCAGGGCTGAATATCTCTCAGTGCTGGGGAACAGAGCGTCAAGGAAAAAAGATTTAAACCTTCCTAATTTGGCAGCTGCAAATTCCATCCAGGGCAATAGGTCACCATTTCAGCCTTCTTCTCATTCAGTATCTAAAGTACCCTTCAAAAGGCTACTTTGGCCCTCACTTCTCATTCCACAGGTCCGATCCTTCCTGTAGGAGCCCAAGAGCTGCGACTGGGTACTCAACCCTGGTACTGCCACTCTCTACCTGTGTGTGACCTTGGCCATGGGATGCCATCTTTCTGGGTGGGCTGGCCCCAATGCCCTCCAAAGTTTGCTTTCTACTTCTGCATGTGTCTCTAGTCTTTTACCCAGATTCTCTAACCAGAGCCCCAGGAAGGGGAAATGGAGCAACACACAAGGACAATTGCCACTGAAAAAAACAGATCATAAGTTGTGGGAAGACCTCACCCCTGTCAGCACCTAAAGCTAGAGCTCCTTCATCACGAGGGGCTGCCCAGGATTGGAGCCCATATACACAAGCCCAGAGCACACCCTGATCTGTGGGGTGCTCTTGGCACACATTCTGTTGCAACGAGACAAGGCAAACGTGAGTCTGGTACCGGAAGATCACACTACATGGGTGGTGGAGAGGCCCGGCAGCATCACAAACACTGTAGGGGATCCTTAATACAGACACGAACAGTCACAGTCATACATCTGGTGAACCCCACCACTAAGGCTTCCAAAGCATCCAAAAGCAACCCATATACACTGTATGTATACGTGTGTCTATGGAGATAACAGAAATACAGGGGCGTATTGGTCCCCAACACGTATGCCACACACTATCCAGCCTGAAATGACCACAGGATCTTATTTTATTCCCACGATTTGGAGAAAATCACAAGTCCCGTCTTTCTGGAGTTGGAAAATCCAGCCAGATCAGAAGCTGGGAAAGATGAGGCAAGGGAGCCAATGGTGTTCTCCTCACCCTGCCCCCACCCCCAAATTACGGGATGCTGGGGAATGCCTGTAGCTGGCTCCCCCCTCCATCTTAATTAACAAGCTATCCCAGCTAACAGCAGCTGAGGAGGAAAAATAGAGGAGTGGGCCCAGTTGCCCCCACCTAAGAAACTACTACTAGACTCGGTTTTCTTCCTCCACGCTCGGCCTGTGCACTCACGTTCGAAAGGCTTTTCCGAATCCGTGCCTCCACACACCCCCACCCCCCACGCCGGGCGCAAAGCCAGTGGTCCAGAGGGGGCTATTTCCGAAGACCGTAAGAGAGGCCTTGGGGATGAGAAATCTTGCTTCTACAGTACGGGGCTGCTTGGGGGTAAAAGGCACATCTCCATCCTGTTTTCAAGGACACTGCGGTAAGCCGATGGGTCTCATAGGCTGTCTGGCCATGCACAGACCACCCCGTGCTCGGGTTAGAACCTGGGGGCGGGGGAAGGCTCCCCGGGACAACGGAGGGGGGGAGGGGGATCCGGGATGCCATGCGGCAGCAGCTGCTTTCCGAGGAAATGAGCGAAGCTCCCGCTGCAAACGCCGGCCTCCCGGGAGGATGGGGCCGGGAGGGAGAGGGAGAGAAGGCTCGCGGGGAGGCAGGACTGCGCACCCCTGGACCGGCACCTACCTTCTTGATCCGGTCATCCTTTAATTCGGTAAAGTAATAGGCGAGCAGCTGCGCGGCGATCATGGTGCCGGCGAAGGTGAGCCGAGCCCGGGGGCTGCTGGCTGCGCCGCGCTGCGCCCCGCTGAGACTTCCGAGCCGACCTGGGATCCTCCCTCCGCGTCGGTGCCGGGCCCGGGGACGCCGCTCCTTCTTCCTCCCTCGCAGGCGGAGAAGACGCGGACGCTTCCCCCCTCTCTTCTCCTCCTCCTCCTCCTCCCCCTCCCCTCCTCCTCCTCCTCCTCCCGGGGAGGGTGACAGCGCTGAGCCGGCCCACCTCCTGCTCTGCCATTGGCTGCCGGCGCCCGGCTCTGCTGCAGCGGGGTGGCCGGGCGGGGCCCGCGGGCAGGGACTGGGGAGGCATGCTGGTCTGGCTGCTGGAAGGGCCGAACGAGCGCGGGACTCGGGGCGGGGCGGGGTGGAGCCGGGGACCCGCGGACACCCCCCTCCCCCAAGTCAGGCATCCCGGCATGGGCACGTCGCCCACGTACCGCAAGGAAGGCCTGCATGAGTGGGCTTGGCGGGGGGCGATGGAGGGGGAGCCCCGCCCGCCTTCCTGCCCCAAGCGCAGGATGCTGCGGCCCTGGGTGAGGATGACGACTGGACAAAAGGGGGCCATCCGTCTCCGAGCCTTCCTCCTCCCTCTTCTGGGGGCAGAACTGTCGGTAATGACGGGGTTCCCTCCAGCCCTGACGTTCCTTGAGCTGCGTTCTCGCGTTCTGCGTCCGGTACGGACATTCCATGATGCCCTGTTACAACGTTCTATGGCCTGGGATCTCTTCCTGCGTGATCATTCCATGTTCTAATGCCATCAGCCCCTTTCCCGCGCTCGCAATTCTACGTTCTGTGTCCCTCGTTCTATGTACAACACTCCGAGGCCAGTTCTAAGTCTCTGGTCTCCGGCCCTCTGGCCTCGCTGCCCTCCTCTCTAAAATGTTCTCCAAGGTCCATCCCAGCTCCCACCGTTGGATGGTGAGGAGGATGGGGGGGAAGACGGATGGGGAGGTGGGGTGGAGAGTGTCACACAACCTCAAGGAATTCCACAGGCGAGCCCCAGACTTAAGGGCCTTGGGTTGGGGCGCCTGGATACGGAGGGCGCGGGCTTGGGCTGCAAACGAGCGGCCTCTCCATCTCCGATGGTGGAGATAAACCCAACAATGCTTTAGTCCCGGCAGCGCTTCCCCCTCGCGGCTGCAGGAAGGCGCCCGGCTGCTGTGAATGTTGGGGAAAAGGGGGAGCAGGCACCGCCCCGGCTCCAGCACGTCACGATCCAGGGTGGGGGAGGCGGAGTGACAGATAGCTAGGCGAGCGCACCTCGAGAAGTGGTTGATGGAGCCGCCCCGCCCCGCCCCGTCCAGGCGGGCGGATTTGCATCACTAGGGCAGGGCCAGACCAGAGACCTCCACCACCCTGGGCCTGGCGTATGCTTCCACCTTCCCCTTGTCCCAGCCTTCAAACCAGTTCCCTCCGACCTCAGATAGCACTTGGTGTCTACACTAGCTCTCATATTTGATCCCAAACTATGAGAGCTGGGGGGAAAAAAAGCATCACCAACCCTGCCCTGTGGGGCGTTTTACTGAGACCCACAGAGGTTGAAGACACTCAGGCTCTTTGGTGGTGAATGATTTAATCCTTTCAGCCTTTTCATGGGATGAGAATAAATCACTGACTTCCAAAGTTCTAACGTTAAGCATTTTGCAAAGCCTAAAAGCGCTCTCTAAAAATCTGAGTTGCTATTTCCTCATTCCTCTTCCCACAGAATGTCAGCCCTGTGAGAGCGTGCACTTCGGGATCATCAGAGTACGTATTTCAGAGGAGGAAACTGATTGAAAGGGGGTGGGGGGGAAGGACTTGACCAAGCCCACCATCTAAGTAGTACGGGCAGGGCTGGGATTCTAACCGAGTTCCCAGGACTCTGAAAGCAGTGCCCTTCCCCTGCTGTAGATGTGAGAACTGCCCGGCCGCAGACACTGCCCACACACATACAGAAGCCGCCTACATCTCCAAGCCCTCTAGGGCTCATTTGGTGCTGGGCTTAATCATAGAGTCCGAAGATGTAAAAAGCCGTTCGGGCCCTCAGAGATGATTGAATTCGATAATCGCTAAAGCCCTGGCCTTCTAGCTCTAAAGTCTAGGAGAGGAGGGAATAATTTAATCCCATCATTTTACAGAGGCAGAAACAGATCCAGAGAGGAGAGACTTGGTAGCCAATTCATTCTAAATCTCATTGGCTTTAGAATCAGGAGGGACTTCGGCCATTAGCTAACGACCCGTAGCCCGTTTGCTGAGTGTTTAGAAGCCAGAAAGTACTCCCCCCGGCTCGATGTGGCCCTATTTCTGCAGTCTCTCAAGTGTGGTGTGTGGGGTCCTCTTGGATGTTTCCCTCTCCCTTACCCCACAAATCCAGTCCGTGGCTAAGTCTTATCATTTCCGCCTCCTCAACCTCTCTAGCATTTGACTCTTCTGTTGACACTCACCACCGCCTTATACCTTAGACCTCATCACCTTTTGCCTCTTCAATCCTTCTTCCAGCAGAGCTGCCCAAAGGATTTTCCAGATGCGCAGATCTGACCATATCATTCCCCTACTCAATGGCTCCCTATTACCTCCAGAACCATATGTAAAATCCTCTGTTTGCCTTGAGATTTCTACATAACTTGGCCCCAACCTCTCTTTTCCCTACTTATTATACATTATTCCCCTTCCTGCATTCTAGAGTCTAATAGGGGTGGGGAACTTGTGGCCTCCAGGCCACACATGGCCCTCTAGGTCCTCTAGTTCGGCCCTTTGACTGAATCCAAGTTTGGCCACTGGAGCCTGGAGGCTTCGTGTTCCCCACCGCTGGACCCAAGTGGCCTTCTCTCTCACAAGGCTCTCCATCACTCATCCCATCCCTCAAGATCAATGTGCTCGACCTCCCCTCTGCCTTCATTTCCTAAGACCTAGATCCAGCACCGCTTTCTACACAAAACCTTTACTGACCTGCAGCCCCTGTCCCCAACCTCTAGTGCACTTCCTCACTCACTACCTTCTAGTCATTCTGTATCTATTCATCTGTGTATAAGTTGTCTCGCCATAGAATGTAAGCTTGAAAGCAGGGATGGTATCATTCTTTGTACTCATATCCTCAGCACAAGGCATAGTGCCTGGCACATAGTAGCAGATTAAGAAAGAGACAATTGGATGGCACAGTGGGTAGAGTACTGGACCTGGAGTCAGAAAGAGCTAAGTTTAACCTGCCTCAAACACAACCTGTGTGATCCTGGGCATGTCACTCTGCCTGCCTCAGTTTCCTCAACTGGGAGCTGATAATGGCATCCACCTTTCAGGATTATTGTGAGGATAAAATCTGATATTTACAAAGTGTTCTTGGACCTGGAATCAGGAAGAGCTAGGTTTAATCTGCCTCAAATATTACTGTGTGATCCTGGGCAAGTCATTTAACCCCTGCCTGCCTTAGTTTCCTCAACTGGGAGCTGATAATGGCATCCACCTTTCAGGATTATTGTAAGGATAAACTTTGATGTTTGTAAAATGTTTTGCAAATCTTGAAGCAATGTATAAATGCTAGCTAATATTAATTAGCTAGAGTCCAGCACTCTACTCATTTCAATACCCGTGATTCACTTGAGTAGGCCAATGATGGAACAAGGAAAGGCTCATGATGAGAGGAGGCAGTTCTGTGTTATGAAAAAAGACCACTGGCCTGTAGCTTATGAGGCCCAGGCTCTAGTCCCTGTTTGTCTTTGTCCCTTGGTGCTCTTAGAGGCATCAAAGGTAAATAAAGCCAGAATTTTAACAGCTGAGTGGTAAGCATCCTGAAATTCGAAGTCATGGCATCTGAGTTCAAATTCTGACTATGCTATCTAGCACCCTTTGAATCGTTCAGCCTCAGTTTCCTCATCTGTAAAATGTGGGGATTGGTCTCGATGACCTCTAAGCTCTCTCCCTGTTCTAGATCCACGAACTTGTAAACAGCTCTTTGGCTTCCTAACATTGGGCAAGTGACGTCTGCCTGGGCTTCAGTTTCCCCATATATAAAGTGAGGGGGTTAGACCAGATACTCTCCAGATTCTTGTCTGGCTCCAAAATGTCTGCAATCTGTGACCTCTAAGATAAGGACATTCCCAAACAAACCCTTTATAACCAAGGTGACCAAAGTTGAAAATTGACAATCGCCCCACCCCCCCAAAAAAAAAGAAAGAAAAGAAAACAAAATCTAGCAACCATCACCTTCCAGAGCCAAATGGTATCAAAACTAGTGGTTCAATAGACATCTACTCATGATTACCCTTTGGTGGATCCACAGTCTCATTGGCCTAGGGGTACCTTAGGAGAAGACAACAGCCCCTCCCAAGCCTTCTCCATCTGGATACTGCTCCTATTGTTAAAATCTGTGTGTGGGCAGCTGAGTGGGTCAGTGGATAAAGCGCTCAGGCCTGGAACCAGGAAGACCTGAATTCAAATCCAGCCTCAGACACTCACTAGCTGTATGACCTTGAGCAAGTCACTAAGCCCTGTTTGCCTCAGTTTCCTCATCTATAAAATGAGCTGGAGAAAGAAATGGCAAACCACTGTATCTTTGCCACGACAACTCCAAAATGGGATCATGAAAAGTTGGACACAACTGAAAAATGTCTGAACACACACACAGATACACACATACACACACCCCCCTGAGATCTTTCTCCAGCTCTTATAAGCCATAGATTCTCCAGAGAGGATCCATCTAGCATACTAGAGACCTCCTTCTCCCTCTTTTAGTATTTTTGTGGACACCAGTGGAATCCTTGGGCATCCTCTCTGTCATCTCTCATTCTCACCAATTGTCTGGTACCTTTTCCCATCATACATGTCCTGGTAAGCATCTTTAGGCCACTCCTTATGTGCAACTGATGGTTGACATATGACATCCCCTATGACCTACCATGCAACTTGTGGTTGCCATTTGGGTCACCTACAATTTTGATTTTTCTGTGGTGTTCCCTCATACGTTACCATCTCAGGAAGAATACTGGTATTAAAAAGATGGGATTTGGCAGAAATCGTCTTGGCATGGCCAAAGGCATTAGATGT